CAACTGATGAAAATAGCTGCATTCAAAAATCATACTAGACCTATAGATGTTCTCTTATATATTTTAAAATTCATTCTATCGTTCTGATCCTGGGTCTGCCAGGAAATAGGTGTGTGTGATGTGGTGTGTGTGTGTGTGTGTGTGTGTGTGTGTGTGTGTATTTCAAGACAGGGTTTCTCTGTGTAACAGCCCTGGCTGTCCTGGAACTCCCTCTGTAGACCAGGCTGGCCTCAAACTCACAGAGATCCATCTGCCTCTGCCTCCTTAGTGCTAGAATTAAAGGCATGTGGCAACACTGCTCATTGATGAATGTCTTATGGTAATGAACAAAGATAGTCCTAAATGAAGCCACTTTCAAAAAAATTGGTTAAAACATTAGGTATGGATGTTAAAGCAAAGTGTACGTATGTGGGGGCCGGAATCTCTCTTCTATGGGCCTCAGGTATTATCTATGGCACTCAGCCACTTAGTTGGCAAAGCCAGTGATCTGTTAGGTTACATACAGTTCAAAGGGTTTTCATCGGTTAGTCCTAAAGATGCTAAGGCAGACACTGAGTCTCCTAAGGGAGCTGAAGATAGCCTGAGATAAATTGTAATTAGGCTCTGGACCTGCAACATTCCAACCTCTCCCTGCTCATTGCAATCAGCTAACCGACCTCTCTGAAGGGTCAGTGGCTTCTTGCCTTCCACTAGTGTTGATCTCCTGGGGATTTTGGCACCCTTGACTTGTAGACCATCCCTCGGCCTTTGCCAGGCCCTTCATACTAAGTTCTATGTGTCCAGAGGTCCCTATGAGGAACCAACGGGACAAAGTGGTGTGTGTGAGCTCAGCCTAAACACCTCATTTTAACTATTGCATATGCAATGGGCCTATTGCTTTTCTTTCTTATATTTTTGCTTTGTTTTGTTTTTTGAGACAGCTTTTCTCTGTGTAGTTTTGGAGCCTGTCCTGGTGCTCACTCTGTAGATCGGCCTGCCTCTGCCTCCCAAGTGCTGAGACTAAATAAAGGTGTGCTCCTCCTCTTCCTCAACCTCCTCCACCACCCATCCTATTTTTTTAAGCACAGTCAAATTTTCATTTTAATTTATTATGTGTATGAGTGTTTTGTCCACATGTATGTCTATTACTGTGTGCAGCAACACTGCCGAGAAGATGATGTGGGGCCTCCTGGCACTGCATTACAGACAGTTTTGACCCACCATGTGGGTGCTGGGAAGCAACCCTGGATCATCTGGAAGAGTAACCAGTGCTCTTAGCTCCCAAGCCAAGGAGACCCCAGTGACCCAATTTCTATGGCCACGTTCTGAGTACTGAGGGTTAGGGCCTCAGCATATGTAATTGCTGCGGTGGACCAAATTCAACCTGTAACAGTGATCTTGACTTGATGGCGTGGACTGAACGGTAACCACTGCTGCTTGACAAAGTTCCAGCGTTTCAACTTTAGATCACAATCCTCCAGCGCCTTTACTCTCATTTTTCGTGATTCTCACTGTTCTCACAGGGTTCCCTTAAGCCTTTTCCTTTGGGAAATGTTCTGTCTTTAAAAGATGAAATCGTATAAAATAGCAACGTCTTTAAACAAAGTAATTCTTTAGGAAAAAATCCCCACCACTGTGGAACCATATATATAGTGTGATAACTGCCTAGTCCCACCAAGCTGCTACAAAATTTAGATGAGTAACATACGCTTGATAAATAAGGTGTATTTGGTAAAAGGTTTCTGTACCCCGATGTTAAGTCTCTCCACCAACGCAGCCAATCAAACCAAGCCGAATTAAGAATTAAAGTCCGAGTTTAATGAGCAAAGCAACTCCCGGGAGGTAGAGGAGAAACCACAAGGGAGAACTACTTGACAGAGCAAGGGACCAAGCCTCAAATAGCCTGTGGGTGTGGTCTGGAGCATCTCAGGGGGAGGAGCTGCGGATGGCAGGCTTTCTGAGACTGGGCAGGATTTGAAGCAAGGGGGAGCAGAGCTGGACGGAGGGAGCTTCCCAATAACTAATAATCAAGATTTATAGATCCCTAAGGTCTACTCACCTCGCTTTTCCCACTTTAAGCTTTAGCAATTTGGATAAAAAAAGCCATACAAAAAAAAAAAGCCATATTCCATATTCTGGCCATATTCTGGCGTTGGTGGCTCAGGCCTTTAATCTCAGCATTCGGGGGCAGAGACAGGCGGATCTCTGTGAGTTCGAGGTCAGCCTGGTCTGCAGAGCGAGTTCCAGGATAGGCTCCAAAGCAATACAGAGAAACCCTGTCTCAAAAAACCTGAAAAACAAACAAACAAACAAAAAACAAAAAACCCTGCTGTTTTCCATATAAAGTCCTTTTCCCACGGTCAGGCAGTTAGACAAAAACTCCCATTCCTGCGGGGCGTTGAAGGACGGTCCTGCTGCTAAAATCTTTGGCAAGAGGAACTTGTGGCCGCTCCATTAATACATGACTGATGCCTATTAACTTCCGCAGTCCCTCATCACAAGCCACACCCCAGCTCACGTGCCCCTTTCTCCCACTTAGTCTTTTGTGCAATTATAGAGTACAAAAGGAGTAGCTTTTGTTTTGTTTTGTTTTTTCAATGAAGTGTCAGCCATCTCGATTCAACCTCAGATCACGTCAGTCTCCTCTTCCCTTCACCGACTCCACACCTCCACTTTGGGACCTGAACCCCACGGGAGCTGGGCTCCCCCAGCTTTATTTAGTTACTCCCACAAGAACCTACTGCTTCCTCTACTAGTCAGCTGTAGAACCTGGCTCCGTGCGTGGCTCAACCATGAATTCACTTTGACCAAAAAATGTATAAGTAGAAGCAATGCATATACATCCAAACAGGAACTTGTAAGATCTTTTTGTTATCAGTAGGTTGTGTTCTTGGCAGAGGTGACTATGGCTCAGGGTGAGTCACACCAAACAGAGCAGCATCTGAGTTTCAGGGTATACATAGTATAGACAAAAGGAAAGCCTTTTTAATTTTATACTATTGGTATATTAGGGCTGGGAGGTTCCAGCACTTGTAAAAGTGTGAGCACCTGCATTCCAGTCCCCCAAATCCATAAAAAGCTGAACAAGACAGGGTGTGAGCACCTCAGCCCTCCTATAGGTAGATGGGAGAAGTGAGATAGGAGAATCCCCCAGAAACTCAGGAGCCTAGTGAGGTATACACAGGCAAACAAGAGGCCCTGTCTCAAATCTAAAAAGTGACTGAGTTAGACAGAGACTTGGAATAAAATTAAGGCAAAAATGTGCCTTTTATCTCCACTAACTAAATTTGAAATAGTCTTACTTCATGTCCACGTTGTCTGTTGCACTCCATAATGACTTTCTTTTATTTTAGTTTGGGGGGGCAGTTCATGTGGGAGGGGTGCATGTGCCCATGAACGGGAATTAGGAGGCCCAAGGTCAGTGCCGGTATCTTTTTCAGTTGCTCCCCACCTTATTTTTGATGCAGGGTCTCTCATTGATTGGTCAGGAGTTCACAGTTTGAGATGTACTGGCTGAACTGGGAGCCCCTGGAATCACCCTATATCTGTGCCCCAGTCTTGTACTTATAAGCATGTGAGAGCTTGGCTTCTACATGGTGTTTGGGATACGAGCTCAGTTGGTCATGCTTACACAGAACGTGATTTACCCACTAAGCCATTTCCCCAGTCCTGGTTCTTATATATATGAATCTACTTTGCATTTCTGGTCAAGTGCTGAATGAATCATTAAGTTCTCAACTCTGTTTCAGAAAGAGGGGAAGGCCTTTGTTAAAAATATCCTTTTCTGTCATACTGGGTCTTGTGAGTTTTATAATTGTATTCTCTAGAGCAGAACCATGTTCAGGTGGGACTTCATCAAAATGCTGTTCTAGAAGTGTGTTAGCCTCCAGAGAATTTGCTTGTGATTCCCTTCACTGGAGTTTTCAAAGATTACGAATAGGAGCCTGAGAAAGCTATTTCTTTCATATTGTTATTGGAAATAGACTGAGAACAATGTTCTATTTAATAACCATTATTATTATCTCTCTCCCAGATTGAATTAAAATTGCCTTAATATTCTATTACAAAATTCTTTGCAAAAATGCTGTCAATCATTTTTCTTATTTCCACCAGCCTGCTAACAATGAACTCAAAGCTAATTCAATACTTTGGAGAAATAGTCAAAACATAGCTTTTGAATTGAAAGAACTGAGATATTGTGTATGGTATGATAATTATAACTCCTAATATTTTCCTACTACAGTCTTAGCTTGCTTGGTGTTAGGTGCTGTAATGGGAATGACTACTATATTTTAAGCAGCAAGCTCCAGTCATGTTTCTTAGAAGGTCTTTGTGTGAAAGGCAGTAGAAGGTAGTATAAGCATGGGCTGTAATGGGCTGTAAATAAAGGTCACGTGCTCATATCTTGGGCTGAGCCTGTTTGAGATTGTTTTATGAACTTTGGCAATGTGAAAAGTTTTTTTCATCTCCATCTTTATGGTACCTCATAATGATACGTAGGCCTGATATTAATGTTAAAATTTTAGTAATGTAAAACACACAGAATGGTGCCTAGTACACAGCATTGCTTCATAATGTTAGTTAGCATTATCTATAACCCATTATTAAGGAATCTGAAACCATTTGAGTTCTTCCTATAGGCCATAGGAAGAACTTACTTATAGAGCTATGGATGCAAAATATGTTACGCAAACTTCATAGCATGGCTCAAGATTCTCTTGAAACCTTTTCTGTTGACATTATTGTTGAGCTCTTGAGTGTGTTTCAAGCCTTTAAATTCATTAGCTTTTCATACTGGGGTGGTATTTTTGTCCTTGGGTGAGACTGTAAAGATATGAAGGCCACAAGGAAGAGCATTCTGTAAGACAGTGGGGAAAAGTTGACAGTCCCTTAGGACTTTTCTTTCCATGGTACCATTTGCAGGATAACAGAAGAAAAAGGGGAAAAATAGCACAATGTTTACTGGCCTCTTTGAATTTTGGCTAAATAATTAAAAGGAACTTTCAATATTTGTCTTTCAGAAAATGGCTTTGAAATTCAAAAATGCCAAACGAATTGAAGGCCTGGACAGCAATGTGTGGTGAGTGTCTTATGTGATTGGTCATGCGGTGAAGTTTCCTGTCGTCCCATAAATTGTATTTTAGCTTCAGCCACAGTCCAATAATGAAGCCATTCATTTAACTCCTCCCATTAATTAAAATTAAATGGAGAGAAGCTAGTCCCTGGGCTAGCACTGGATACATGGCAGAGGATATAGAAACGAAGTTTGACTGATGTGTTCATGAAATTTACAACAGTTTCTTTTTCTTTTTTTCTTGGAGTAGGGCCTTGCTATGTATGTAGCCCAGGCTGGCCTCAAACTCTAGATTCTCTTGCTTCAGTCTCCCCAGTGCTGGGATTACAGGCATTATTATATCTACATACAGATATGACTCAAATATGAATGTTATTAAATTGAGGTGTCTAAGGAAAATAGGGTCATTAGTTCAACCCTCATTTGCCAGATATATTCATCTTGTGGGTAGTAACATTTGGTTGGGAATTCATTGTTTTTCATCTCTAAGACTAAGTCTTGTTTTTTTATATAAATAGAACGTGTGATTTTTGTCCTTCAAAAACAGTATTTCTCTGTGTAGCCCTGGCTGTCCTGGAACTCACTCTGTAGTCCAGGCAGGCCTTGAACTCAGAGACCCACCTGCCTTTGCCTCCCAAGTGCTAGGATTAAAAGCATGGGTCACCACTGCCTGAGAACATATGATATTGAAGCTAACTCAGTAATTATAGTCTTTTCTAATTTTAGTTGTTGTTTTCTTTTTTTAATCAGGGTTGAATTTACTAAGTTGGCTGCAGACCCTTCTGTTGTGAATCTTGGACAAGGCCTTCCAGATATATCGCCTCCAACCTATGTGAAGGAAGAATTATCAAAGGCTGCATTGACTGATAACCTGAATCAGTACACCAGGGGCTTTGTGAGTCTATCCGGGCTACGTGGGGCACCCAATGATAACTCAAGCTTGTGTGTGTGTGTGTGTGTGTGTGTGTGTGTGTGTGTGTGTGTGTGTGTGTACCTCTGTCTAGGATCACCTGTCCCAACCTAGAAACTCAGGAGCCCCTTGCCCTTCCTCTTGGGATGCACCTTCCCCAACTTCCAGCCCTTTCGAAAATCTGTTTTGGTCCACCATTGACTGCTATTCTAACATGAGATCACAGGACATCAAGGGACGGGAAATTATCCTCTCATTATCTTTGCTATCTCATTAATACTAATGTAGTCTTAGCATTGGCTTCTTAAAGAACCCTGTTTCTGACTAGATGCTTGCTTCCTCCCTAGCCTCTCTAACCCCTTGTCTATCATCTGTGCTGAAATGCGCAGGTATCCAGGCATTTTAGATTAGAGTGACTTTGAACTATGGACATTTGTCTACCATGCCTGAGAGCCATGTGACCAAGCTTGTAACCACATGACCAAGCATCTTCTTTTCCTTCCTTCAGAGTGTGAAAAATGGGGAGGAACAGGATATGGAAAGAAGTCTTTGCATTTAGTCATTGTGAGTCTATCTATGAAAGTCCAAACAGTTTGCACAGGGTCTTGCTTTGGGGATAAGAGCACAGGAGAAAACAGCAAGACAGACCTGAGCAAGATGGTCACAGTGCCCTCATGGTCTCACTGTCTTCATCGGGATGTTTATTGCTATGGCAAAATACCATAGTCAAAAGCAACTTGGGAAGGGCTTTTTTTCATCTTATAACTGTAGTCTATCATGCAGGGAAGCTAGGAAAGGAACTCAAGACAGTAACCTGGAGGCAGCAACTGATGGAAAATCATGCTTACTAGCTTGCTCCTCATGGTTTACCCAGCCTGCTTTCTTACAGCATCCAAGAGCAACAGACCAGGGATGGCACTGCTCAGTGAGCTGAGCCCTTCCACATTAATTTTCAATCAAGAAATTGTACCATAGGCTTGCCCATAAGCCAATCTGGGAAAGGAGGTGCATTTTCTCACTTGAGTTTCCCTCTTCCCAAATGACTCAAATTTATGTCAAATTGACAGCCCACTCACTAACCAACAGGCCTATAAGCCCCCATAACAGACCTGAAACTATGTAAGTTGTAGAAGAAAATACAAGGGAAATAGGTTCAAGGTATTGGCATAGGCTATGTTGTTTTGTTTTGTTTTGTTTTATAAAACTCCCAAAGCACAGGTAACAATAGCAAAAATAGACAAATGTGATCTTATAAAACTAAGCAATTTGTTTATGTCAAAGAAGCCTAACAGAGTAGAGACAACCTATAGAATGGGAGAAAGGTGCTCATCAGACAAAGAATGAATGTCTAGAATGCATAAAGACGTGGGAAACCTATATAACGAAAAGGGGGTTATAATCTACATTTCTAAAAGAAGAATAGACGTGGATAGAAAGTGTATGACGGAGATCTTAGCATCACTGATCAAGAAAATGCAAACAAAACCATGCAAAATCATTTCAGTACAGGAAGAATAGTTATTATTTAAAAAGCAAAACATAACAAATGAAGAGAGAGAGAAAAATCTCTTCTGCACCTTTCGAATCACTGTAAATTAGTGCTAGTGTCACAAAAGGCAGCATAAGTAGAGTTGACAAACTGGCCCAGTGGGTGAAGGCACTTGTTAAGGCTGACAACCTGAGTTTGATCCTTGGGACACACATGATGAAGGGACAGAACCAACTTTCCAGTAGTTCTGTGGCCTCCATATGCACAGTGTGGCATGGATACCCTCCCCCAACACACACACACACACACACACACACAAAATTGTGGGATATTTGCACACTGTGAAAATGTATTTTGTGACTGGTTTAATAAAGAGCTGAATGGCCAATAGCCAGGCAGGAAGTGTAGGTGGGACTTCCGGGCAGAGAGAGGAGGTGGGAGCAGATAACCGAGGCACAGAACGAAGCAGAGCGAGCAGGATGTGCAGGAGGAAAAGTAACAGCCATGAGCCAGGTGGGAACCCGTAGATGAATACAAATGTGTTAATTTAGGTTAAAAGAGCTAGTTAGAAACAAGCCTAAGCTATAGGCCGAGCTTTCATAATTGGTAAGTCTCTGTGTCATCATTTGGGAGCTGGCAGGACAGAGAAAGACTTGGCGGGGAGTGCGAGCCCAGCCTGGTCTACAAGAGCTAGTTCCAGGACAGCCTCCAAAGCCACAGAGAAGCCCTGTCTCTCAAAACAACAACAACAACAAAAAAAATATGTAGATCTGGAGGTAGATGAGAGTTGAAAGGTAGTCTGTAGAGGCTAAGAAGAGGAAGTGGAAAGAGAGAAAGGGAGACTAAACAACATACCAAGACCCAGTGAGATGGAAGGAAAATTTTCTAGTCTTCTATAGCACAAACAGGGATTATAATTCACAATAACCTGTTATATATTTGAAGAACTATAATAGAGAAGAGCTTGAAGGTCCCAAAGATATTCAGGAGGAAAATAACTGGTTTTATTATATACTGTGGTCATGTGTTGAGGTATCACACTACCCCTTAAATATGTGCAATTATTTATTGCATGTTAGCGAAAATAAAAATTATTTATTTCTGGGTATGAGTTGAACCCCGGGCCCTGTACCTGCTAGGCAAGCACTCCAGTACTGAGCTATAACACAGCCCCTAAAGAGGAAGTTTTAGTTTGAGAATCACTACATATCCCACAATCTGTACATTTGTAATCCTCTTTCTCATCTTATGGGAATCGCTGTCCTTGGCAACTATTCTTTTCTCAACTGTGGAAGATACTGTGCTTCCTGGTAGTGTTTGTCATCATCAACACTAACTCTTAGTCCATGGCACATAGAACCTCCCTGGCAATTGAGAAAAGCAGATTCGGGGATATAGCAAACTCAGGATTTTTACATTCATAATTATGCTATTATAAATATACTGGGAGATAATTCCTTTTTATTCAAAACAAATGGTTTGAAATATTGTATTTCCAAATCTTCTCTTTTGTGCATACTTTTCATCAGCACCAAGTTTTCATAACTATTCAGAGAGACACTCAAAATGCAAAGGCTTTTAAAGTTTAGTGCTACTTTGGATATATAGACTTGGAGGCTGGAGGGATAGTTCAGTCAGTTAAGAGCACTTACTGCTCTTGCGGAGGACCTGGGTTCAATTCCCAGCACTCCCATGGTGGCTTATATACAGTCTGTCACATCTGCCTGTAACTCCAAGTCCAGAGGTGCTGGCACCTTTTCCTGGTCTCCACTACACTCAGGTGGTGCACATGCGCACATGTAAGCAAGATACCTATACATATAAAATCAATCTTTAAAAATACAAATGTGGAGATAACGCTAGACATTTACCCAAATTTAAAAACTGTTACATCTTAGACTTATATTACCTCAAAGAAGTAGCTTTCATAATCAACTTCAAGGTGGGTTTTTGTTTTGTCTTAATCTTTAATACAACAGGGTCATCCATCACTTGTGAAAGCTCTGTCCTGTTTATATGAAAAAATTTATCAAAATCAAATCGATCCAAATGAAGAAATTATTGTGACAGTGGGCGGATATGGAGCTCTCTTCAACACCATTCAAGGACTGGTTGACCCGGGAGATGAAGTAAGTACATGAACACTGTTATAACATCTACTTCAATACTTCTGTCCTGTATTGGAGTCTTCTCCTCATTTTGTTCCTTTTTTTTTTTTTTACTCTCAATCCATTTTGAAGTCTAATGGTGGCACAGTAAAGTTGACAAGCCTTGACTGTAGAGTGGGATAAATTGCCATATAAATACAGTGCACACAAAGACATTTCACCTGTCCAGTGTCCAGACACTTTGAGTCATTTCCTGGTGTGTGTCTCCCAGAGTTAACCATTATTCTGTAATCTGCACCTCAGTTCATTCTTATGGCTCTTTTACTGGATAGAAATTGGAATCATTTTGGTATGATTCCAATTATGGTATAGGCTCTTGAATTTTTTTTCTTTTCATTCATTATTATGTCTGTGAGATTTGTTCACGTTGTAGCATTGTTAGTTAGTTAGTTAGTTAGTTAGTTAGTTAGTTAGTTAGTTAGTTAGTTAGTTAGTTAGTTAGTTAGTTAGTTAGTTAGTTAGTTAGTTAGTTAGTTAGTTAGTCTTGTTTGTTTTTGAGACAGGGTCTCCTCTAGCCCAGGCTGACCTAACTTTGTATGTGACTGGCATGCACCCCCCCCCATGCACACATACGTACATGCAGATTCAATAAAAACATGAGGCTGTGTGTGTTTGTAAAAGTGTTTATATTCTTTCATCTAGAGGTTGCAATCATGTGAATTTATTCAACTGACCATACACACAAACACAACACTGTTATTTATACATGCAAAAGGTAAGAAAATAATTCTCATATTCAGCAAACTCTCATGTGGACATTAACGCAAGAGCAAAAGTTAGAATTGTATAGCATTTTCATGAAATTGGGGTAAGTTTTAAAAAGATATAAAAGCACAGGCTGGTGAAGTGGCTCCCTGGGCTGGTGAGGGGAGGGGCTCCCTTCGTAGGAACATTTTCTGCAAAGCCTGAATTGGATCTTCAGAACCCATGTGACAGAATAAGAGAACCAACACTGGCAAGTTGTCCTCTGACTTCTGATATGGGATGTCTTTCTGTATTCTTACAATTGATCAATAAAGAAGCTGATTTGGCTGAAATAGCCAGGTAAAATAGACTGGCAAGTTGTCCTCTGACTTCTGATATGGGATGTCTTTCTGTATTCTTATGATTGATCAATAAAGAAGCTGATTTGGCTGAAATAGCCAGGTAAAATAGAGCCAGGCAGAAAATACAAGTAGAGATACAGGGAGAAAGAAGGCAGAGTAGAAGAAGACACCAGCTGCTGAGGAAGCAAGAAATGTAGAAAATGAGGTAACAAGCCACAAACCATGTGGCAAAGCATAGATAAGAAATACGGGTTAATTTAAATGTAAGAGCTAGTTAGTAATAAGCCTGAGCCATCAGCCAAACAATTATAATTAATATTAAGCCTCTGAATGATTGTTTTATGTGGCTGTAGGACTGGGTGGGACACAGAAAAGCTTCCAGCTACAGACTACCACATGTGTCCCATGGTACACCCAAGAGCATGTGCACAGCAAATAAACAAATAAATGCAGTCAAAAGCTGTATAAAAGGCAAAGGCCAGGCAAATGTGGTGGTGCGTACCTGCAATCCCAGAACTTGGGAGGTGAAGCCAGGAGGTCAGGGCCCATCTCAGCTCCATAGTGAGTTGGAGATTGGTCAGAGCTAGATAAGATCTTACGTCAGTGGAAGAAAGAAAGAAAGGAAGGAGATTGTCTTAGTTACTTTTCTATTTCTGTCACAAAATACCATGACGAAGGCAACTTACAAAAGAGTTTAATTGGGAGCCTGCTCAGTTTCAGAGGGTGAGAACAGACCATGACCATCATGGTGGAGAACATGACAGGCAGGAGGCCAGGCACAGAGTCCCAATGCTGGGGCAGTAGATGAGTGCTTTCTCATTAAAACAACAACCCTGAGGCAGACAGAGAGCAGAGTGGAATGGAGTGGGCATTTGAAACCCCACTGACACACTTCCTCCAACGAGGCCATACCATACCTTCTAGTCCTTTCCAAGCAGTTCCACAAGCTGGGGACCAAGCTTTCAATCATGAGCCTGTCCAGCCAGTCTCACTCAAACCACCAGAGATACAAGAAAATGGCAGAAAGGTCCTCGATTGGGTCTGAGGGCTGGGTCTGATGGCAGCAGACCAGATCAGCTATTCAATCTGAAACTGTGGCAAGGGTGACTGGAGAAGAGTTTTAGAGGTGAGAAATCTGATCCAAAAACTGGGGTTAAAAAAAGGTTCCAAATACCACAAACCTGAGGGGAGAGAGGTGCTGTGGACATCACACAATCACACAAGAACAGAAAAGATTCCAGCTACAGACTACCACATGTGTCCACTGTCCCATGATTCACTCACGTGCTTACTCTCAAGATACTGTCTTAAAATAGCACTCCACTCTAGAAACGATTGCAGTGTCATTTCCTGACATCCTGCTCCTATCAAGTAACTCCTATATTGTATTTTCTAACTTGAACTGCAAACACCATACTTACTGGTTTTGCTTAGAACATCCCTTTGAGATGTGGTGAGCAGTCTAGGCCCCAGATAAGTCTGGGTGTGTGCCTATGTAACTGACAATTTTGAATGTCCCCACTCTAAGTCTATCCATAGATCTCCCTGAGAACTCCAGCCTTGACTCCCTGGACATCTTTATTCAGGCTCTTTTGCACTCAGACAGTCACTCCACGAAGACCAGGCCTGTCTCTTCCATTGCTGTGTCTTATCCCTTAGCACAGTGCCTCCCAGTCAGAGGTACCACATTCATGCACTGAGTTGCCAACTGAACCCTGCGTTCTTGTTTGCTTTTCTCTCAGGTCATCATAATGGTGCCTTTTTACGACTGTTACGAGCCCATGGTGAGAATGGCCGGAGCAACGCCTGTGTTTATTCCCCTGAGATCTGTAAGTCCCCAATCCATCCACTGGCTTGAATGTTTTAAAATGCCAGTTTCTTTGCCATTGGAGATGTAATGAAGTCTTTTGAAAACAATGAATACAGTATTCATTGTTATGACTCATAGCCTCCTCTGTCAGTCTCACCGTGTCACACGTTGCCCATAGATATAGCCAGCTTCTGGGAAGGAACAGAAGCTGTTGTGCTGACGGCCTTCATTGTTTCCTTTAACAGGTGTGCAAACAAGATTCCAGTCCTCTGGGTTCTCGAGGTTGAATTAGAGCCTAATTATTTGTGTTTGTATTCTTCATTAGTCGTTTATTCAGTTACCTTTGCCAGGTCTGTCTTCAATCGTCGTTTTTCTTTACTAGGTTATTTGTAAGACAGTAAACATGAATTAATTTGTCCAAAATCACATCTTAATTTGTTCAAATCACATCTTTCTTCTTCATGCTTAGAAACCCACTGATGGGATGAAGTGGTCTAGTTCTGACTGGACATTCAACCCTCAAGAACTGGAAAGTAAATTTAGTTCCAAAACTAAAGCCATTATATTAAATACTCCACATAACCCCATAGGCAAGGTAAGTGAGCCTCTTGTCTTACACAGGCTGGGAGTCACTGTTTTCTCATGTGTGGAATAATTGGCTGTGCCCTTTCCTTTAATATGTGTAGGTGTATACCAGAGAGGAGCTGAAAGTCATTGCTGACCTTTGCATCAAGTATGACACCGTGTGCATCAGTGATGAGGTTTACGAATGGCTTGTCTACACTGGACACAAGCATATAAAAATAGGTACTGATTATGACAGTCTCAAGGCCGCCTGGGTTTGGGCACATGTGGGACAACTGATTGGAAAGGATCCCAGGCCAGCCTTAAAAATAGCCTCTATGATGGGTATCTATGTGAGCACTTATAAGAAGTATTTAGATGGGTCGTGCTTGAGTGATTAAAGTTCAGCTTGATGAACAGATGTTCAAATGGGGGAAGGGACTTGCGATCACAGTATAAAGCTGGGAAGTGAACAGAGCAGTTCTTTTGCCTATCTCTGTCTTCTAAACCAGAATGCTGCCGTTCCTTGGTGTGTAAGACACTGGGACAGAAGTTCTCATGAAGCGGTTCGTGATTGTGCTGAACAAGCCGCCAAAATAACAGCAAGAAATGGAACGGCAAGCTATTGTTAGTCTGTCCTCAGCTGGATTTTGCAATTGCTACTAGACTACCTCACCCAAATACTGCCATATCATCTGGGGTGGCCCAAGCTCTCAGCTGTAGGACTGTAAGCTGGGGGGTGGGGTGACCTTCAGATCTTGCGCCTGTCTTTCCTTTGACAGAGACACTATCCCTTTGATGTCCCCATGACTCCCTCAGGTCTTTTGTTCCCGTGTCACTCTCCCTTACCTCCAGCACTCACTCACTTCACTTTTATTTTGTTTATCCCTCTGTTGTTAACAGAATCTATGCACTTTGCTTGTAAATTACAAGAAGTACAAGATTATTATTTGTGTTGGTCTCTTCTAAATTTTTAATGTATGGGTCCCACACATGGTAGGAGTGACTCAAACTAACACAGCCCAGAGTCAATAGAGGAAACCTCAACTGAAGAATTGCCTGGATTGCGTAGTCATATGGCCACTTCCATGAAGGACTATCTTGCTTGATGATCTATGATACGAGAAAGCAATCTTCTGTGGGCAGTGCCATCCTTAGGCTAGTAGTCCTGGTCCCCATGTGAGCAGCATGCCTTCATGGTTTCTGCTGTGCTCCCTGAGCTAGAAATGAGTCCCAGCCCTGACTTCTCCAATGCTGTACTGCAATGGGAATGTATAAGCCCAATAAACCTTTTCACAAGAACAGAAAGCAAATGAGAACATCGGGCAATCAAATGTCTTTGCTGAATAAGATGAGTAGGAAACATGGAAAGGAGGAGGCCAAGATGTACATGTATGTATGTATGATGTACAAACAGAAGTCACATGTGCCATAATTGTTCCGGTCTGTGGAAGGGAAAACAAATGTTTCAGGGGGTTAGAATGTAACAAGTCTTTCTCTGTCCCACAAGCCAGCTCCCAAGTAGACTTATTGTAAATTATGAAAACTCAGCCTAAGTTTAGGCTTGTCTCTAACTAGCTCTTACTATTTAAATTAACTTGTTTCTATTAATCTGTGTGTTGCCACATGGCTTGTCACTGTTACCTCTTCTCCTGCATGTCCTGCCTGTTCTCCAGCTCTCAGCATTCTTCTTTGCAGCTTTCTCTCTGCCCCCCAAATCCTGCCTAACTGTTGGCTATTATGCTTTTTATTAAACCAATCCAAGTGACACATCTTCACAGTGTATAAAAAGATTATTCCACAACATTAGAAGCCTTGGAGGAGGGGTAAAACCCTTGCAGGAGACAAAGGCTCTGAGGCTTGCTAACAGATACACTTGAAACCTCAGTGTCCTGCCTCCTCAAACAGGGGCATAATGAAACTAGAAGTGATTCCACCTGACAGTAAACTGAACATTAAAAATACATTATTGTTGTTGTTGTTCTAATCCAGTTAGGTGGCTGGAAAGATGATTCAGTACTTCAAGAGCACTGGTTGCTCCTCCGGAGGACCCAGGTTCTATTCCCAGCACATGGTACTTCACAACCATCCGTAATTCCACTTCCAGGGGAACCTACTTCCTCCTCTTGCCTCTGAGGGAACACTTTGGTATACAGACATTGTGCAGGCAAAACACCATATGCATACAAATAAGACTTTTCAAATTCTAGTGATCTACACAGCTGTATAACAAAGCTGTTGCAGCAAATGCATTTGAGTTTTCTGACATGGGCATTAATATTCATTTACTCAATTCTCTCACTAAGTGATCTGTAAGCTGTATAACAAAGCTGTTGCAGCAAATGCATTTGAGTTTTCTGACATGGTCATTAACATTCATTTTACTGAATCCTCTCGCTAAGTGATCTGTATCTTTCAAGATCAGGTAAGTGGCAGCAACTGCCAAGGGCTTAAGGAAAACTTGTGGATGAAAACCTAAGGTGACTTCTCAAATTTCTGTACAATAACTTGATTCCCCAAAGTGGCCATCATTATACTTGGAGAACTACAGCAAAAAGAACAGCAACTGCCAAGGGCTTAAGGAAAACTTGTGGATGAAAACCTAAGGTGAATTCTCAAATTTCTGTACATTAACTTGATTCCCCAGAGTGGCCATAATTATACTTGGAGAACTACAGCAAAAAGAATTGGTTCTGTGACTGCATTATTAAGTAAATCAATAAGCTCCAGGTTTGGGTGAAGGTCAGAAGCAAAGCATGTGTTTGACAGCTTAGGTCGTGCAGAGGACTGTGAAGAACTGTGAGCCACACACCGCTCCTCAGACTGAAGAAATGGAAACTCCAGCGAATGATGGTGACACACACCTGTAAGCCACATGGCTCCTCAGACTGAAGAAATGGAAACTCCAGCGAATGATGGTGACACACACCTGTAAGCCACATGGCTCCTCAGACTGAAGAAATGGAAACTCCAGCGAATGATGGTGACACACACCTGTAAGCCACATGGCTCCTCAGACTGAAGAAATGGAAACTCCAGCCAATGATGGTGACACACACCTGTAAGCCACATGGCTCCTCAGACTGAAGAAATGGAAACTCCAGCCAATGATGATGACACACACCTGTAAGCCACACGGCTCCTCAGATTGAAGAAATGGAAACTGCAGCCAATGATGGTGACACACACCTGTAAGCCACACGGCTCCTCAGACTGAAGAAATGGAAACTCCAGCCAATGATGGTGACACACACCTGTAAGCCACACCGCTCCTCAGACTGAAGAAATGGAAACTCCAGCCAATGATGGTGACACACACCTGTAAGCCACACCGCTCCTCAGACTGAAGAAATGGAAACTCCAGCCAATGATGGTGACACACACCTGTAAGCCACACCGCTCCTCAGACTGAAGAAATGGAAACTCCAGCCAATGATGGTGACACACACCTGTAAGCCACACCGCTCCTCAGACTGAAGAAATGGAAACTCCAGCCAATGATGGTGACACACACCTGTAAGCCACACCGCTCCTCAGACTGAAGAAATGGAAACTCCAGCCAATGATGGTGACACACACCTGTAAGCCACACCGCTCCTCAGACTGAAGAAATGGAAACTCCAGCCAATGATGGTGACACACACCTGTAAGCCACACCGCTCCTCAGACTGAAGAAATGGAAACTCCAGCCAATGATGGTGACACACACCTGTAAGCCACACCGCTCCTCAGACTGAAGAAATGGAAACTCCAGCCAATGATGGTGACACACACCTGTAAGCCACACCGCTCCTCAGACTGAAGAAATGGAAACTCCAGCCAATGATGGTGACACACACCTGTAAGCCACACCGCTCCTCAGACTGAAGAAATGGAAACTCCAGCCAATGATGGTGACACACACCTGTAAGCCACACCGCTCCTCAGACTGAAGAAATGGAAACTCCAGCCAATGATGGTGACACACACCTGTAAGCCACACCGCTCCTCAGACTGAAGAAATGGAAACTCCAGCCAATGATGGTGACACACACCTGTAAGCCACACCGCTCCTCAGACTGAAGAAATGGAAACTCCAGCCAATGATGGTGACACACACCTGTAAGCCACACCGCTCCTCAGACTGAAGAAATGGAAACTCCAGCCAATGATGGTGACACACACCTGTAAGCCACACCGCTCCTCAGACTGAAGAAATGGAAACTCCAGCCAATGATGGTGACACACACCTGTAAGCCACACCGCTCCTCAGACTGAAGAAATGGAAACTCCAGCCAATGATGGTGACACACACCTGTAAGCCACACCGCTCCTCAGACTGAAGAAATGGAAACTCCAGCCGATGATGGTGACACACACCTTTAAGCCACACCGCTCCTCAGAATGAAGAACTGGAAACTCCAGCCAATGATGGTGACACACAGCTGTAAACCAC